AAATATTATAATTACATATTTTATATTCATAAATTAGAGTAAAATAAATATTTTTAGTTTTTCACGTTGAAAAATCACAGTTGCTCAGTGGCGTGTAACATAGAGTCTAATTGTTGCTCGGGCAACACCTTAAATATGGGTGGGTGGGTGTTTATAGATGAAAAAATAGGTAATTTTATAGGCCGGTATAACAGTATTATGAGGGGTAGGTCACCTAAAATTATTTGAGCAACACCAATTTTTTTATGATACACGCCACTGCAGTTGCTTATTATAAAATATGTTGTAGCCTGTAAGTAAGAATAGAAAAATAATACAAACAAATTATGTACCTACGTATAGAAAGATTTTCGATGATTTGAATATTAAATTTATTGGAAAATGGAAATAAATTAACTAGACGATGGAAATAAATCAATCATATACTATTTCTAGCGTACTAAATAATTTTAATATTAATCAATAAGTTTCATTTGAAAAACTATACTCAACGTATTAAAATAGGCATAATTATAGATAGAACATTTTAATTTCTAGTGGAAATCTTTCCCAAAATATTTTGTTTTCACAAATAATTCTCGATTCGATTTTCTAAAAAAACGCAAAGGACAAAGAGCACATGTATTTAAAGTAACCATTTAAATTATATACCTAATCATAAATAAAATTAAAAAAATTATCTGTTGTATTTTATCTTGTTGAGTGTTGTATAGTAAAGTAATTACTTAAAAAATATCATTACCTTTTCAATTTCTTCCTTCTTCCGTTTAAGTTTCATTGTAAGATCTTCTAAAAATGGTTCTTTTTTTAAACCAGCTTCTGTTGGATTTACAATGTTTTCAATTTTTCTATATGGTATTTCAAAAATATCAACTAAAGAATGGAACAAAGTGACTGCCATTTTATCGAGCTCAGTAACCTCCTCAGAAGAAACCTGTGTAATTCATAATTCATACTATTATAAAATTAAATTTTTACCATAGAGTAGAAGTTCAAAATACTTTCCTGGACCACTAACGCCGAAATTACGAGAACACAAACATTTGACGTCTTCATCTTAGTAGCTGTTTCGAACGAATAAATTGTCAAAACTTATTCACTGAGTTTAGTACCTACCATATTATATATATTCAATAAAAACAACCTTGAAGAACTTTTTTTTTATCCATCAATTCTAACCCAACCAATGTCTTCTTTTATATACCTGCCTTTCATAGACGTTCGATTCTATTGCTAAATCGTATAATATTGTTTACGTCCGCCGTTGGTATTATGTTATATTATATTGTTTGCTTCCGCTGCCATCGTTTTATTTCGTTAAATTGTCTACGTCCGCCCCCGCTATATGCAATTGCACTATGTTTAAGATTTTGAAAGAAGATGTCCTGAAATATTTTCACATAAACCAAACTAAATAGTAGGTATAGGTCCTTAATAGGTATTTTTAAATTTAACCTCGTTAGTATTTGATAAAGCAATTTTATGAATATGAGTAATATTCTCAGATGATGCTCTATATGTGCTGAATGTAACAAGTGGCGGGCGGCGGCCCAGTGGCGGATATCCTCAAAATAATATGTGTTGCTGAAAATATTTCAGAAACACCCACCCACCCACCTATCTTAAAATAATTATTAGAAAATACAAATTACTAATATTCTATCAGTGGGTACTGGCAGTGGCGGAGTGAACTATTTTATTTTATGAGGCAAGTATAAATGCTCGACCACCAACACCTACATTTTATCACAGAGACCCATGGGGACTTTACCAACACACCCCCAATTCGCAATTTTACAACAATAATATACTTCTCTATTTGTTAATATCAGAAATATAATAAAATTACTTATGTTTGTGCCTCATAACTTATAATATATTAATAACAATACATCTTTATTTAACCTAACCTAACGATAAATTGTCCCTCAATAAATCAGATGTTGCTGCAAAAGTATCAATGGCCAAATTATAATCTATGTCATATTTCACAGTTTAAAATAAACAAACTTTGCAAGCCTCTAAATGTCGACCCCAATTTACAAAGTTTAATTTACCATGTTTCTCACCACAAACACATACTGATACTACTGTCAAACTCATAATTGCACCCAAATAAGAAATACAGCCCAGTTTAACATTAGTAAAAAATGGTAGGTACAAATGTAATGTTTTTATAAAAGCACTATAATTATTAAATAATTAAATAATTAGTTTTATTAAATACCTCGCATGTAGATAATACTATTATGCACATAATAGATCAAGGTTTTTTGTCTTGAGTTCTTATTAAGATTACGTTTCAGAATAAACTGTCACCAGTCAAGATTTTAAGTCTAGTTATGTGACTCTGTTCAATTATAATTTCATAAGCATTTAAGACTATCAGAAAATGCTGTTGACAATGGATTTTTAATTTTTTTCATCTACCTTTGAAACAATATACTAGGAGTCTTCTATTAAATTTTCAAGCTTTTTTAACCAACAAATAAAATTTTATTGATATTTATAGAAAAAAAAAAAATTAAAAACAATAAAATTAAAAATGTCCGTAAATAGCTCAAAATGAGTCAAAATATTTCTAAAATGTTATGGTGTATAGAACATGCTAACAAAATCGGAAAAAATTGGGAACCGGTATTAAATCCAAAATCGAAACCGAAAAAATTGAAAACCGGAATACAAAATCGAAACCAAAACCGAAATTTTTTCAATCGGTTTCAAGCCCCGTAAAAGTGTTTGTAAAAGTGTTTGTAAATTTGTAATCCAATAAAGACATTAATATTAACTAAGTATTGTAAACTAGATATTATTATATTTAAAATTCAAGTTATGTGACTATTTTGAATAATTCCATAATGGTAATGACTAATAAAAATAATTATCAAATAATAATACTGATTAGATATCTACCAAGTATAAAATATTCAATAATATTAGATTTTTAGCATAATATCGGCTGCAAATGGTCAAGGGAGTGCGGTGGAGTGTGGAGATATGGACGTGGTAAGTAGACGGAATATCAATAAACAAACTATTTTTATTTATAGATATACCAACTACCAATATAATATAAATACTAGTCCGTTGTCCGTACATATAGCCTATAGGTATTATTTTTATTATAGTTTACAAGTTGAATAATTAATATAAATAACATTATACAGGAAACGGTTTCTTCTGAAAATTATTTATTCCAGAACTTGTATTTATTTTAGTATTGTTACGTTTTTAATCATAAGTCATAGTATTATAAATAATTACCTAAATAGCCAACACTTGCACCATAGATAGCCGCCACATAGAATTTTTAACATGCAAAAGTAGTTATAAATAAATAAGTAAATACAATAAATTGGTTATTTACAAAGATGAGTAGCTAGATAATAAAAAAAAAAAAAAAATGTGACGTTGTAATAATTAGTTAAACTACCTAGGTGTAAAATTTTTTTCTTAAAAGTATATACATATATTATTGACGTTGAGAAAGGGCATCATGAGGACGTCCGCGCTTGAGACGTCGGAGGGTAGGCTTGTCGTTGAGTTTGAAATATTTTGCACTTTTGGCGTTGTTTAGTTGGCCAAAGAAGTTGACTGAGAGATTCTGTATGTAGGATTTAACCATCGGGAGTCTGAAGTCTGTATGAAGTGCTTCGTTTCTGACGAACCACGGCGCGTTGGATATTATGCGTAAAATCTTGGACTGGAAGACTTGAATTTTATTTATGTGAGTTTTGGCACAGTGTCCCCAGATAGGGGCAGCATAGAGTATTAATGGTCGAAGAATTTGCTTATAAAGAACATGACTCACTTAAGGCTAAACTATATATAAGTTAAATTTATAAATTACAACATTTGCAATTTGTATTACTATAACGCCTAAACATTTAGTTATGAGAGTTGGATTGAAAAAAATGAATATCAGTGGTTCATTTCTGGTACAAACGCAAATATTGAAAACAAATTTTGGTTTGTTGTTCAATCAACTTATTGGATCCTTCGAGCAACATTTTTAATTTATTATTCTTAAAAAGAAGAAACCTCACTTGAAATTTAGAAAAAAAAACTTGTATACTTAAAAATTTCAATGGACATAAATAATTAAAAATTTTTTTTATTATTATTCTGATTCGAAAGATTCAAAATAGACTTCATAATAAATTCAAATTTGTTTTCAAAATTATTATAGGAGTTAACATAAAGTTAGTACTATGGAACCCTTATAGGTCTATTTTACTCTAAAAAGTGGTAGTGTGGAATCCCCTTAACTGATTAAAGAATAAATATATTATATTTTTAATTTTACAAACTATTTAATATTTATGCAAATTGCCTTTATATCCAATAAGTACATTTTTGAAAAAAAGGCATTATAAAATATAATTTGTAGTTATTATAACTAAAAAATAATGATTAGCCTAGACATTTTTTGAAGCTTAACTGTTTAATCTGTATAATCAAAATAAAACTATAGATTTTGAAGTTTCTGAAGATAATGGGCATGCAGTAATCCTAAATATTTTTCTTTTTCCAACACAAATTACATTGTTCTAATACAAATACTAATAATTATAAAATAGTATTATTCATTGCATAATGACATAATGTTTATTTTTATGTAAATGTACATAATTAAAAAAACAAAACAATAATATAGGTACTTATAAGCTACAATTGTCTTTACATTAAAGGTTAGGTGTAATATGATGAAAGATTTATGTATACAATCAATAAATTTGTTACTATTAAGTGTTCTAACCGAAGTTTTATGACATTAGCTTTACAAATAAAGTTAATGCATATAATTTAAATACAAACAAATAATTACAATTTTCGTGTTTCCTACAGTATAATAATGGCTGTAGTCTATAGATCATTTGTTATCCCTACCAATATTATTTAAAAGTTAACATTGAAATATAGAATTGTTATTTATCGTATCAACTAGATATTTATTTATTTTTTATTGAGCACCTAAAATAATATTAAAATAATATTCATTACTGTTCGGATGTTTTTTGTGATGTTTTTGTATCACTCAAATCAACCTGCGCACAAAAAATATTTTATTGTGTAATAATTGAATTAATATAATTATGATATTATTTTATTTTAAACAACTAAACTTACCTTTATTTTTTTTAAGAAGTCATCAATATCATTTCCTATGTCAAGTAATTTGGTTTTAATATTATCCGGTAATTCATCAAAAGATTTGTTCGTTACTTTTGTTACTACTCTCATTGCATTTGATAATGCTCCCGACATATACATTGACAAGTATCCAATCGCTTTTTTTGTATTTTCTCTCTGGGGTTTTGGTATCTGATTAAATAACTCCTTAAAAAATATTTTATTTAATATATATCCATTATGTACTATCATAGTAGGTACTATGTACTATGATATTGCTTATAATTATATTTTGGATTTACTGTCTATGTATAATGAATATATACATACGTTATACACGTATTAGTCTAGAACTATGGTTGGTTTACATACAAAGTTACAAAATATGAGTTATTTTAACATAAAACATGATAACATTAATAAAAAAAACACAATATGGAACACTACGTCAATGCTGTATACCTATTAATATTTTTTATCTAATAAGTATTCTTTAATCGAGTAGGTAACAAGAATCTTATCTGAGATTTAGAAAACTAAAAATATTAGTGTAGCCAATTAGATCACTTCGTAGATCCGTTATAGAATTCCTATTAGTATAGCGACCAACGTTGTGAAATTTACAATCATATGTACGTGCAAATCATCTAATGTTATAAACAGTGTTTTTATTAACAGTTAGGTACCTAATTGAAGGAATTCTAATATCAAAATAACAAAATAACATTAAATTATAAAGTATTTATACAGAAATTCGTTGTTACAAATAATTTATAATCTATGTTACTAATAATTTATGTTCTTTATTTATTTGGGAATTATTTCTAAATAATTAAATAATGTAGTTAAATTTGATCAAAATAATATTTTATTTTAGATTTTAATGCCAAAATTACGAAGTACCTAAAATATACTGTTCAATTTTATTTTATAGAATATAATTAATATTATAAAACTGATTTCACGTAAATATACAAATAAGAAATCTTATCAGTTATCATGAGCTACTGAAATCGTTTTGTATATTGTATACAAGCAACTTTTGCACGTGAAACATTCTAGGCGGCCGTTTGCTCTTTGGCTCTATGACGTCACAGTAATATTTTTAACACTCAAATAGGTACTTACTACTTAGTATTGTACCTAATACCGTTGAATAATATATATTTTGATTTCAGACTTTTACTAAATATTTCAATACAATGATTAGTCATCAAACTTAAGATTAACAAATATAAATTAGTCTGGTGATCTCCTTTAATAAGATGTACGGCAACAATACGAAATTACTGATATGAGTATTATTTATTGAGGATACATTGTATACCATACGTCCATACTATGCCTGTACACATAAATATTAAATATATCCAGGACAATATACTACGTGTATTATAATTTGAAATATTTTAATAATTTTTGGTTGCCACTTTGGTGATTACATGATAACATTTTAAGGAAATATCATAAAAATAACATAATTAATATTATAGTGTTATAAATTATATGTTTTTGATATATAAAATGCTTTTGAAGTAATAACAGTGTACATAAATTATAATGAATAAATTATTTTAAGATTTAAATTATTGAAAATATGATAGGTGTATTATGTTATGGTACCTACCTTATTTTTTAAAATATTTATCGGTATATTATTAATTAATAATTGACTATAATTAGATACAATTTAAGATATTGAAATAAATTTTTATCTCAAATAAAAAAAATTGTCAAGACAATACACTATTATATAATTATTCTAACTTTAAAATATTGCGAATTACCTCTTGGGTTTGTTCCATAAGCCGCTTTAATTTATGCGAGAATTCATTCAAGAATGTTTCTACATTTGCTTTCATATCCGGTGGTACTTCATTTTCTAATAATTTAGTGATGGGTTTTGCTACAAGCTCAAACGAAGATGATACAAGACGGCTTAATATTTTCTCTAGATCAGCAGTTTCAGAGGAAATCTATAATATGAGATATAATTATTATTTTACAATTCAATTTTAAAAACATAAAATTATTATATTATATTTTATTATATTACATAGAATATTTATTTTAAAATACTTTCCTGAACTACCAATGCCGATAGTAACAAAACGTAAATATATGACGCCCTCATCTTGTTGGTATACCAAATTTGAATGATAACTGTATGCTACATGAAATCAATATTTATACAATTTAGTAGGTATTTTCGTTTTTTTATCATTTAAATAACAAAAATAATGCAATAATTATATTATTTGATTAAAATGTTCATTATTATTTTAATTGGATAAGAAACAATTGATTTGAGTAGGTTAAAATGCAAATAAAATAACATTTTTTGATATCATTAATCATATGAATATTCTTTGTACCTACCTAGTACCTACATGAGTATTCATTAATTATGCTGACTGAACTTTAGTATAATATAAATTGTTATTTATATCATATTAAAAAATGTTAAGTATATAATAAAATACCAAAGTTTCATAGAGATTACACTTCTTCCTATTTCCAATTCTTAGTAAAAAATTCATGATATAGAAACAAATGTCTGGTTGTAAACAAATTAATCAAAAATTGCATTAAGGAATCATAGTTCAAGTTCACGAACAAAAAATTTCATAATGAAATATTGTTTAACTTATTAAATACAAATTAAAAATAATAAACAATTTCAAAAATAGTAATAATTTATATTGATTATGCAAATAAAAATATAGTCAATTTTCAAAGGTAACTACTCTTAAGTATTTAAACTAGTTTTTTTTCTTCATATTAACTGTCAGTAAATTTTGATTTGGTGACTGAGCCATTAGCACTATATATAATATTAGAAAAAATAAAATATCTATTATAATAATAGTACCTATATTAGTACTTAAGTATTACGAAATCTTAGTATAAAACAAAGTCCCACGGTCTGTCTGTATGCTTAGATCTTTAAAACTAAGCAACGGATTTTGATGCGGTTTTTTTTTAATTTATAGAGTGATTCAAGAGGAAGGTTTAGATTCACGATTGGCCCCGGTAAGTCCAACCCGAGGAGCTGCTCAAAAAGGAATAGTTTTGAGATTTAAGATTGAAATTTTTGTTTATAAATGGTTGCTATGGGTTATAGGAGAAATAATTAGTAGAAATTCGTAATTAGTATTTTATTCGTTGCCATTGGTTATCGGGCAGATCAAGTACAAACATGCATCAAACGAATTTTCACACATTGCCTACAAAGGTGGCTGAGTTGCACTTATAGCCGCTCATCGGCGTGTCGCTGCCAAATTGATAATATGCTGTCTCAGATTGTCCGCGGTCCGACATCGGATTGCCTACCAATATTTCTGGGTTGCACTAACTGCAACGAGTTACACTCAAAAGCAGTTGAAAAATCACAATTTTTTTAAGAGTTGTCATTTTTTACTGGCAACAAAGTGCGCGGGATCAGCTAGTTAAATAATAGAAGATAAGTGTATAGTAGTTATTAGTTAGAGTTCGCATAATGACGTCTCAAATATAATGTTCAATGTTATAATCACGAAGTTTAGGTGTTCATTTTATTATACACATAAATACGTCATAATACATACCTAACGATGATGGGAAGCACGTGACCACCTGTACCGCGATGATAGCAGTAGTCTATTAACAATATAGTAAAATACTAACATTTTTAATGGATATTTTTACCTAATATTGTTTTTTTTTGCACAATATAGTTTATTAGATATGAATTCTAATAATTCGCTTTAAAACTATAATATTGAGAAAAATCTCTTAGATCTTCCCCTTCGATTTGTTAATAACTTAGTTTTACTAACGATTTAGAGATGAATTTATTACTATTCAATTCCAATTATTATAATTTGCATATTTTCGTGAACCTTACAAATTTTGTTAAAATTCTGACTTCAGACACTCATAAAAAAAATATTGCGGATTTACGACTAACTTTTTTTTTTAATTTCCGCTAAAGAAAACTTATGAGGAATGATGTATTACATTTTTATGTTTTATTCAAATTTTTTTATCGACATTAATTAAACAAAAACTAATAATAATCGACAATTTCATATGCTTATATAAATAGCTCAACATAAGTAAAAATATTTTAAAAATGTTATGATATTTAGAAAATGTTAAAATAAACATTCAGTGAAAATATCAGTAAACATTAAAAATAACAAACCATGTTTCTTGAACCAATTTAAAAAATAGTAATAATTTATGTTGATTATGCAAATAAAATTATACTCAATTTCCATAACTCTTAAGCAATTAAACTAGTTTTTTTTATTGACCTAGTATATTAGTATTTAAGTAGTAAATATAGTAGTTAAGAGTTAGTACTCACAATGACGTCTCTAATATAATATGTTCAATGTTCAATCTTAATACAAAGTTTTGGTGTTCATTTTATTATACATAATATAAATAAATAATACATACTTAATCTAGATGTGAAACACGTGCCCATCTGTGCCACGATGATAGCAGTAGCCCTATTAACAATATAGTAAAATATAAATTTTGATGGATATAAACGCGTCTATATGGAAACTCTCATAAAAATTAAATTTGAATTTCTGGTAGTTATATTTTAATTGATAAAGTTAGAAAAACTTATAAGGAATCATGTGTTAAAATTTCAAACCTTAGATATAAAAATAAAATTTTTTATGAATTTCTAACTCAAAATAATTTTTCAAATTTTCGTGAACTTTACGAATTTTGTCAAAATTCTAACTTTCCAGGCTCATAAAATATGATTGTAGATTTATGATTACATTTTTTTTAATTTTCAATAACAAAACTTATAGGGAATCTTATATTACATTTTCTAGTTTTTTGATAGAATGAACATATTTTTATCGACATAAATTTAAAAAAAAAAATAATAATGAAAATTGCATATGCCTATCACCTATGAATAGCAAACATGAGTCAAAATATTTCAAAAATTGTATGGTGTTATAAAAAATGCTAATATAAACATTCAGTGAAAATGTCAAGTATCTACAGTAATTTGTTTTAGATTTACACAGAAACCCATTTTGACGGTTACCATTTTTGTAGAAATTCCAGTTTTTTCTTGATTATTATTTTATTTTTCCCGGCGCTTTTGAATATTATTGGGAATTTTAAATTTTGACCAACTAGAATCACTTTCCCATTGGAAAAGATACTAAAGTTGGAAATTGAAGCATTATTTCAACTACTCATCATAAACACACACACACAAAAAAAAATTAAAATTAAAAACACATCATTGTAAAATCAATACATTCATCGGCTCCTCTTAGAATTTAAAATACATATTCTAAATCGATGTATAATGAACCCAATTTTTAGCTTTGTTAGCATTGTATAAAACTTATAAAACAAAAAAATCCAAAACAACATCAAAATCTCTGATAATTATATTTAAAGTATAATGTTTCAGAAATGATAAAATATAATAAGTAAATGGATTATTAACATATAATGTTCAATATAATACAACTGTAATGTTTAAAATTTAAATTAATTGCATGATTAGTAAATATTATGTATGATAAAAAAATTAACTGTCTGTATATTTTTTAACTTACAATTTGTTACCTTTAAAGTAACTTAAAAGCTATGCATATACACATACAGGGTATAACAGAAAGAACTGACAAATGAAAATTTTATCTTAGTTAAATGTATGAACAAAATTATCAAAAGACAACATTATATTTATAATAAATAAATTAAAATTAACTTATATCTAAAAATTATCAAAAAGAATACTTTGAAAAAGTTATAACGTTTAAAATTAATTTACTTAAAAAAAATTGTAAAATTTAAACTACTATTTGACTTAAATAAATATTTTTCTAAAAATAAGATTTAAAAATTTGCTACTTTGAGGTTTTCCAAAAAACATTTTATTTTTTAAATTTTGATTAGAACAAAAAATATGAATTCATAATAACGCTCTTTTACTATTATAATATTATCTACCTATCTTAAATAATATATTACTAAGTTATATACTATAGGTATGTTTAATTATTTTTTTATATAAATATTGATTTAAAATAAAAAATAATACTAAAATTGTTGTGCAGCCTTGTGTTCACAAGAATTCATTAAAATCATGAAGTTTAATAAAACAAGAAGTTATTTTTTAATAAATTTAAATTTTTCAAAAATCGTATCATTACTAAAAATACAGTAAAAAATATTTAAATTGATATTATTGATAATTATTGATATCTCTTATTATAATAACTTAATGAAGTTAAAAAAAACATAATTAAATGTAGGTATATGACGTTTATGTTCAACACATAACTTGATATTTTTTTGATTATTGTAAACTAATCAGTATTAGTTTGAATGTTGGAAACTTTTAATGTTTTCATAAGTTTTTCACCAAGACCCTTTAATACTTCGTTGACTTCTTTTAAATGGTCCACGTGATTACCGATGAATCTCTTGGTCGTTTGTATTTTTTCCAAAACCGATTTTGTTTTTTTTTGTAGTGAATTATTAGAAAGATCTTTTAATCTCTAAATAAAAACAAATATTATATAGTTACAGGATTGTTTAAGTAAAACATCAATGAAACATATTGTGCTTAGGTAGAAATATATACTTTTTCCTCATCAATTATATATTTTTCGAGCTGTTCAAGTTCTTCAATTGACTTCGTTAGAACACCGATTTTATATACAACGTAATCTATGGTAATTGCAGTGTTTTCATACATTATCAATCCTTTTTTTTGAAATTCTTTCATTCGTGTATCATCAAAATTGGAACTATTCCGGAAGTTGGAATATTGCTGTAACTACAAAAAAAAAACAAACAATTGCAGATGACTAAATTTAGATAAAAAAACAATGTTTACACCGCAGTTGTACTGCACATAAGTCTTCATACGTCGACGATCGTGATGTTTAAATTTCCAACGAACAAATCAATCATGGCTTGAATTTCGTGGTCTACGAATTCTCTTGTCGAATTTCTTGCTATTTCCTCAGTGGTCAGTTCAATGCGTTCCAATAGCTCTGAATCTAGTTCTACGAATGTGTTTTTCCTAGAAACTGGACCAGCCTGTGTCAAATACTCGAATTAATATTTATACTCATTAACAAATTCTATTATTTTTTCTCTTCAATAAATATGATGATAAGCATTTTATGTGTACCTACATATTTTACACAGTACACCAATGATTGTTGATTACCTAGTCTGCACAGTGCTAACATTTTTTTTATATTTATCGGGCATACTATGGTGTTATATTAGACCTCATATGTGCAAGCAATATATTATGCAGGGTTAGTAAATAAATGTATGAGCATTGAAACGTTTAGTCTTAAGATCATATTATAATGATTATTTATGAACCTAGATATATAGGTAAATTTAAGGAAACAAAAAAAAAACGATCTCTGCTTTATAATAAAAGAATATTATGGTTCTAAAGATGTTTATAAACAATGGTGGAATTAAAAATAATAAACACTCCAAATTATCAAGACAAACAAATGTAATTTAAAACTAATATCATGTCTCCCTGCTAAAGTATAATAATATTGCGTAGGTAGTATTTTTTGTCTAAAACTTTCTTTGATAAGTTTTAATATTAAAATATGTTTTATTAATTTATTTTAAATTTAACAGATGTTTAAATGAAAACGGCCGATATTTTTGAACAGGTATTGTTAAATAATACGTCATGACACGATAACAGTAAATATCTAAACATTTTTAACGATTACAATTATCCACATTACAGTACTCTTCAAACGTGTTTTAGATAATTTAAAAGTATTTCCACCAATACGTAATGTTATTCCCGATACAGTTGAAATATTGTTCTAACTTTTTTTTCAACAAAAACAAACATTAAACTATGATAGATGATCTTTATTCTTTACTTTACAGAGTGATACAAAATTACCAGAAACTATTATACAATGCCAATTATACATAATATGTTCGTTGTTTAGTAAACAAAATTCCTCAAACGAATGTATTATTATAATTAATCAATTATAGTATATTATAGTATTAGGTTTATTAAATAAATAATTAAGTTTAACATATTATTATATTTACCGCGACACTAGCCAGACACAGACACCCAGCTGAAATCAAGGCTAACCACAGTACGGACTCCATGACGGTTAGAAACGATCTGCTTTGACCAATGTGTACAGTTCACTAAAACAGACTGAAGACTAAACTTGTATAATATAGGTGTACCTATATGTATTTGTATTTATTTTTTATATACCTTTTTTTTTTTTTACTGGGTACTGTTATTTTGTTTCTGGTTTTGTAACGGACGGTTGTCCGCTCGTGTTCACATAATAAATATCGTACAAAACACCGTAATACACATAATACTCGTATATTTCACAGATTTTACAGCATGTGTTCTCAAAGTGGCTCTCAACCCCTTTCTGGTGCACATCGTCCAAACTACAGCACGCACTGTGTTAGCTATGCTGCAGCGTAGGTTCTTTACATAATTATTATGACGTCATGATATTTAGCTATACAGTTGTTGTTGGAAAATGATTGGCCCGTTGACAATGAATTGCAGTTATTAAACTATATGGGTAATCGTTGCAATGATTAGATGATTTTGATTTAACATAATTTTGGAGTTTAAAAATCACTGTGAAGAGTAAAAGGCATTATAATATACGTACCTGCTATTCTCCAAATGCGCAAGGAATCAGATTTAATAATTAGTAGGTACACGGTAACGATAAAAAGTAAAATTCAAAAATAGTGTTTACTCTTTACTCAGTCACGTTATATTGATTATTTATTTATTTCATTTTTATTTTTTCCATATCATTTAATTAAACGCGATTTCGCTTAATTTCTATGGATTTAAAATCTCAACTTTTAGGACCTATCTCAGGAATTTTCGTGAGAGTAATCGAATCTATAATAAATCACGATTTTTTTTTTTTAAAGAGAAAATAATATTAATTATTTGTAATTTAATAATGTTAAATCCATATTTTTTGGAAATGGAAATTTGATGTGTAAATATTTATATCATTAAAAATGTAGCCACCGTTTTCATTACAAGATACACTATTCGCATTTAAATTACATTCAAATATAAAATGGACCTAATATTTAAAAATCATTATAATTTCATTCCTATATAATCCTCGTACCTACCTATATTTTTGATTGGATTAATTATTACGAAAACCCTTATTAAGGACTTGTTGTGTACACTTTAAATATTAGTTGCAAGATCGTTAACAAAATTACTATACCACGAATTTCCCACTAATTATATAATCATCAATTTCAAATGTGGATCAAGTAGGTAGGTAATATTTAAGCATAGTTAATTCGTCTGATTATAAATTATAATTAATTAGATTGGATATTAATTAATATCTTCGATATAAATAAATAATTGAAATAAGACTTATGTGTACATAAAAAATGTTTAATTAGTATAGGTAGGTAACTAGTAACTACTAACAAATTACAATAATCAGTAACTACTACCTACTATAACTAGTCTCTATAGCAATCTAAGTTTGAATTATAATCATGACAGCTTTAAAATATATTTTATGTTGTACCTACATTAATTTATGGTAATATTTTATTCTACGAATGAATGCATGTAATTTAAAACAAACAGTAGGTAGGTACCGCTACGACTGGGAAAGTTAAACTATTTTTTTTAACTTGATGAATACAGTTAATAATATAGAAAATAGCAAGTTAAAAATAGGTAACCTATTTTTGTATACCTTATTTTAGTTGTTACCTACGGAATAAAGATAACAACATATATTTCAAAGTCATTTTCTAATGACAATAGTTAGCAATAACAGTAATTGAATAGATTATTTTAGATACATTTGTAATGATGGTAATATTGGTATTTGGTAGCAATAAAACTTACCATTTCGGAGTATCATACCATAGAATATAGAAACGTATTTTTGAAATACTTACGTAACTGAATTTAGATAGTTTTATGTAAATTAAATTGAAATTAACACGTACGTAAAAAATATAACGTTATAATGTATAACAAAAATAAATGTATGTAACATAATTAAAATGAACTTTTTTAATTTTTAATTTATTAATACCTAATCTTGACGACATCTTAATATGTGCACTGTGAATAAATTGTGATAGGTAACTTACAAAATATTAGTTCTACTAAGTATACTGGAAGGATATACTTCTTTAAATTAATTAAAAATAAAAATATGTATCAAAATCATTACCATTTTAAGTACACGATAATTTATTTAAATACAATAGAAACTGCTTTAATTATTTATATCATGTAGATTACAAAAAAAAAATATAACAAGGCTTAATAATTAACTGAGTTAATTTAACGATATAGGTCAGTGTAAAAATATTGAGTTAAAATGTTTTTCATAGGTAATATAATTTTCCAAATTACCATTATAATATAAATTATAGTATATAAACTTATGTAAAACGTAAAAACACCTGTAATAAAAATATTTAAATACCTGTTATGATGGTACCGTTTATTAATGGTAAACCATGATAGAGAATTATTTAATTTTTGTTTTCACATGGTTTATGGACATAAATGAACTAGATTATATAATTTTATAAACTAATACAACTTTGTTTTCAATACCTACTTTATTTTTATTTTATTTTTATTTAGATAATTTAATATTTATTAATATTTATTATTATTATAAGTATTTTATTTATGAACTGTGAAAGTGTAAACACATATTTAACACATTTACTACCTATCTGGAACCTGAAATTGTTAAATCTTTAAATGTTGAAATAAAAATAGTATAAGAAAATAAAAACTGATCATCAAAATCAATAGTATAGTAGGTACTTTTAATGAATAATAAAAACTTAGGACACTGTTTTTTCTAAATTACTACTTTTATTATTTCTTCCATGGAAAGTCAAAGGATGATAATTTTTTTCTAATCTATTTTACCATTAATAACATTGTAAAATAATAAAACAGAAATTAACATACACGTCTTATTAAAGACAATTTTTGGTTAATTTACCAACCATAACTAACAAAGTTGTGCTCAGTGGTGGTTTCGACCATATTGGCCTTTTTATACTAAAACAAAAAATAAAACAAAAAAAAATCTCATTAGATAAATTTTTATGTTACACATTGTTACAGTGTTGTAAAAGCTACTTTTAAAAAAATATTTCAAATGCTTTTTTTATTTTCAAATACTTTTGGCTTTTAACTTGTTAGTTTAATTTAACAATATTTAAAAATAGTATATTGATAAAAAAAAATTATTTGCTTATGCATTTTTTTAACATTAGAATATTAGATACCTATTTATATTAATTTAAGGTATATTACGTACTTTATAATATTTCATATCGAGGAATTTACTTATTAAATAATTGTTCATTTTATTTCAAAACACGATAAAGCTTTGTAAATTTGTCGTCGGCAATGTTAGTTTCATATTTTTGTATATTTTTATCATAATCATTGCATATTCGGTTGAAGTATACTAATAATATTTACTTGGATAATAGTTTTTAGAAGAACTTATAATATTTCAAAACAATTAATATTAACAAAAAAAACCAAAAGTATTCTCGAGAAAATTACAGTACCTTTTTCAAATACCACTGTGAATATTTGGTGCTGAAAAAGTATTTAGTACTTAAACTAAATCATCGGAGTATTTATATTCAAATGCATGACAACACTGCACATATATGATTTATGGTACAAAAATGTTACTTACTTCAATGAATGCATATCTTAAAGTATCCAAGTACGAATTGTAGTCCATATTTCCACTAGCTGAATTCCTCATGAATTCCTCATTAGTACGATTAATAAATTTAAACAATGCATCGATATCTGAAAATTGGCCTGCTTTTTTTTTTGGTTCTGACCTAGGCACCTACAGTCACAACATTTATTTTTAAATATTAATTTGATAAAATTATTATATTTTTTTTTCAATTGAAAAAAATATCAACATATTGTTATAATATAATATTATCATACATCTGGTTTGTACGTTTTTTTATTCTTGCATCAAACATCAAAATAATTGCTTTTAACATAATATTAGATACAGTGTTGCGACGCGTAGGTACTATATATCACTACGATAGGAACATCTCATAATAATTAAGTACATTCATGAATAATGAAATGTTCACTCATAATACATAAAAGCAATAAACATAAAGCACGTTGATTATAATAAGATATACATTTAAAAACGAATGATATAGACTAAGAATATATTATAGTCACCTGAAACCTAATATTAAATTAGGAAATATCCATAATTCATTGGTCATTAACTCATTAATATTATAAATAACACACACTTGAAAAGGTCGAAAAACCAAATATACTTTAAAAAGATATGATTCTATTAATATTATATAGATTATATAATACTAAAGTATATTAAATTACGTGTGTGTGTTTAAAACAATGAAACAATTTTAAGCTTAGGCTATAACTATTTGACACGAAGTTGTTTCTTTTCAAATATTAATGAAATATATTATGATTATGGTATTACAATATTATGTTAAATAAAATATTATCAACTCTGTCCGACTGCCCCTAAAATTTGTTTTTTGTTTTAAAAAATCTTTAAAAATAATTTGTAATTAACATCGCTCTCCTTACCTCGATGATTGAATTGTCTAGCACAGGATTTTCTGGCGTTAGAATTTGGTTTTCATCAATTTCCACAGCCTACAAATATAAAATTAAATCTATAAAAACATTATTTTTAATATTATAATTTATAATGTAGTTTTCTGAGTAGTTAAATTATTTAAATTGTATAAGTAACCATATTATAGTTATATAATGTAAGGTAAAAAACACATTGCTATAATATGATTTCATGTGCAAGCTTATAATAAAAATAGAATATCAAATTATAAACAAACATAAATATAAAATATGTATAATGTATAAAGCTTAGCAATTCCTAAAAGTGTCTCATATCGTGTTTATACTGAACATTTAGTACTTATTTTTAATAAGTTAAAAACACATTTTGTGTTAGGTATTAGTAAAACATTAAAACGTTACTTTAGTTTGTTTATATAACTAGTAAATATTATAATCATTGTTCAGAAGAATCAATTACTGGATTAATTTAATATTTATGATACATTTTATTGTAAATTATTATAAAATATTTACCTCTAAATTCACTAGACATCCTGTGAAAACCAGGGCCAACCACAATATAAATGACATGACGATTAATGGTTTTGAAGTTTCGCCTAAACAATACGAATTGTCTACTAAAACGGCCCGAAACTATAAACACAATAATATGTATATTCTGTCTTAATATTGTTATACTATGTAGGTAGTATAATTATTCAGTAGATAAAAAACTTTTTTAGTGGGAGTGTGAAGCTATTGGCTTGAAATTGTAGAGCCATTACAACAACAATGTGTTTGATAACAATTTGATTTTGTATAGCATTAATACTTAATTACCTAACTTAAAAAAAGTTAGATGTAAACATTTCATACATAATATTAAAGTAAGTACGTTAGTTGTGAATAATTAGGTACCTACAAATAAAACTTATGAGAAATAAAAATTTTTCAAATTAAATTATAACTGATTTGTTTTTAGAACTAGAGACATAAATAAATGTTCACACATTATATTTTTTGAATTTACAAGACTGTTTAATATTTAGCATTTATTTCTAAAACTTATCTAATACTGTGAGCAATTTTAGCAAAACATTGATATTGAAGAATCAATATGAGTTAATATTTTCATATTATTAATATACATATTTTTTGGTAACTATAAAAATTGAAATTACTTGACATAATATTGTTGAAAAACATTAATTTAAACCTCAGTAAATATAAATTTGTTCAACATTAAATATTGAGGAGCAATTTAATTTTAGAATATTCTCAGTTCGCGTTCGGCATCCGTCGCGCACACTGCTTGCGCTCCGTCCTGTGATTTTATTTATTCCGTATATTGGTCTCATGTATCAATTTATACTTAATTACACTTAAAACATCTGCGTTAAATTAATATAGTAATGTAAAAGATTACTTAGTTTCAAATTATTCTTATAGTCGATATAAATAACAAAATTAATAATCTCATCGTCGATTACCTACGTATTCACTATATTATTTACAACAACTTGTGTGCTGTCTTATCGCACGCCGCTGCGGCGGCAGCGACCTCGACTTTATCGCAATAATAATTATGCCGCAATCTACATCCAATAATATAAACACAAACATAGCCAGCACTAAATCTAACGGTACTACCAAACTACAGCCTGCTCGCCTAAACAAAGTTTCAACTTCTGTCAACACTAATCACTCAGTCGGTAATCAAGACGTTACCATGGAAAATTCTTCGTCAGGAAATTGGTCCGTGGCACAGTCAAAAAAAATCAAAGTAATAATAAAAGAAATCTCTCTTCCTCTTCTTCCGAACAAAATTCGCCAAAAATACAAAACAACAAAAAATTATTTTTTACGTCAAACCGCTTTGAAGTGCTCTCACAAGATGATTCACAGCCCACCTCTCCAACAAAACCTACTCCACCGATTTCTAATGAGTCAATTTCAAATAACAACATCAATGTCGGAATTAAAACAACTCTCCCCCCACCAATTTTTGTAAAAGGTGTAATCTGTTTTACCGATCTTTGTTCAGAACTTATTGAACAAATCGGAGTAGATAATTTCTCCTGCAAATCCTCAACTGACCGCTTAAAAATTATGACAAGTAACCCAGCTTCCTATAGAACGCTGATTCATTTCCTCAAAGAGCAAAAAGCTGAATACCACACGTACCAGCTCAAAGAGGATAAACCAACGCGAGTGGTCATCCGTAATCTCCATCCGTCCACGTCCACAGAACTTATCAAATCGGAGCTTGAGTTGCGGTTATTTGAGGTCCGTCAAGTAACAAATGTATTACATAAAATCAATAAACACCCACTACCGTTATTTTTCGTCGACCTCGAACCGACAATTCAATCCAACGATATTTATAAGCTGACATCTCTTATTCACACCAAAATAAAAGTGGAAGAACCATACAAAACAAAAATTATAAGCCAGTGTATCAACTGCCAGGATTATGGTCATACCAAATCGTACTGCGGCTATCCAGCTCGCTGTGTCCGCTGCGGCGCACTACACTCCTCATCAGACTGTCCCAATCCACGAGATGCTACTCCAAAATGTGCCCTCTGCTCCGGTGATCACCCCTCAAATTACAAAGGCTGCTCTGTTTACAAGGATCTACAACATCGCAACAAACCAAAAAAAAGCAATCTTCTGTCGGATAATATTAGTCATAAGAAAAATGTACAGGTTAGTCATCCAGTGGTTACCCCCTCAACAAATCCACCAGACTCGTTCCAAACCTACGCACAAGCTACCTCCGGTTCTTGCTCTAATAACATAATCCCTCCTCCTGTATCAGATATAAACAAGTTCCTTGACGAGTTTAAATTACTAATAAATCCACTAATCGCCCTTCTCACCCAAGTTATCTCAAAACTTCTGGATAAAAATTAATGTCTTCATACACAAGTAACTCCCTTCTTATCCTTCTATTCAACTCAAATGGTCTTAAAAATCACTCAAATGAACTCCAGATAGTACTCCAGGAGAAGCGTATCGATATTGCCTTGATATCCGAAACGCACTTTACAAAATACTCTCACATCGCTATACCTGGTTATCATCTCCTAAAAACAAATCACCCAGATAACTCTGCTCATGGTGGTGCTGCAATTTATATTAAATCTTCCTTGTCCTTTCAATCCCTTCCAAATTTTTGTCAGCCCCATTTACAGTCCTGTGCTATCTTACTACACCTCAACAATATTCCAACAACTTTAGCAGCAATATATTCTCCTCCGAGGCATAATATTAATATTCAAAACTATATAGATTACTTTAGCTCCTTTAGCCAAAACTTTATCATTGGTGGTGACTTCAATGCTAAACACCTCAGCTGGGGCTGTCGTACAAACAACCCAAGAGGTACGGTTCTCTACAATTTTATAAATCTTAAGGGCTACAAAATCCTTGCGCCCCCTGGACCAACATACTGGCCTACCTCCTTACACAAAAAACCGGACATACTAGACATATTTATTTCCAACACACCTCGCAATCTATTCTGCACGACTACCAATCTCTTAGAACCCTGCTCGGATCACTCTGCAGTACTCCTGACTGTCAGTGCCTGTCCTCCAACCCGGCCTTCTCTACCAAAACTCTTTCTACATTCAACCAATAGGCTTAAATTCCACGACTTGGTGGATAAAAATATAAATCTCAAAGTTAGTCTTAAATCCCCCCAAGAAATTGATGAAGCCATAAACTACCTAACAAATGTAATCCAATCTGCAGCATGGGCTTCTGGTCCTACTAAAATACAGCATTCAAATGTTGCTGCTTCAGTCCCCGAACATATTCGTATCCTTATATCCAATAAGCGCAGAGCAAGGGCCGTTTACCAACGTTCACGTCTTCCATCCCACAAACGTATTTATAACAATCTATCTAACTCGCTGAAAAAAATACTAGCTAAACATAAAAATCAATCTTTTGTAAACCATCTCTCCAACTTATCACCTAACAATGGCAGTCTTTGGGCAGCTACCAAAAGCCTTCTAAAATTCAAACCGTCGCTCGTTCCTATAATAAATCCCCACGGTGGATTTGCATCAACCGATGTTGAAAAAGCAGAACTGTTTAAAGAACATCTAACTGAAACTTTCACGCCTCATCAGGATATACAAATTCCTTCACATACTGACAAAGTAAATCGTTTACTTGATATCCCTCTTTCTATCTCTCCCGCAGTTAAGCATTTCTCTCCTGGAGACGTTAAATTTACAATTCAAAAATACAGTCTCAAAAAATCTCCGGGGTTCGACCTGATAACTGCAGAAGTGGCCAGGTCCCTCCCCAAAAGAGCCATTGTTTTTCTCACAGTTATATATAATGCATGCCTAAGATTGTCATATTTTCCCATGCTTTGGAAATTCTCTGTAACAATTCTAGTCCCAAAACCTAATAAGCCCCCTGACATGTCCTCCTCCTACCGACCAATAAGTCTCCTCCCCTTCTTCAGCAAAATTTTAGAAAGATTAATTCTTAAAAGAATTCTTCCATGCATTTCTGCCAGTTCCATATTACCAAATACTCAATTTGGTTTTCGTTCCGCTCATTCCTCAATACATCAACTACACAGACTAGTTGATGCTATCTCATTCTCCCTTGAAAAAAAAAGTTATTGCTCCTGCGTCTTCTTGGATATATCCCAAGCATTCGATAGGGTATGGCACGAGGGACTGCTGTATAAAATAAAGCCAATATTTCATCCAACCTACTACTTATTAATCAAATCCTACCTCACGGATCGTTACTTTCAGGTCAGAGTTGGCACATCCTTTTCTGGCTTAGCAAAAATTAGTGCAGGTGTTCCTCAGGGGGGCATCCTTTCTCCTCTATTATACAACATATACGCTGCCGATCAACCAACCTCTCCGTACACATCTGTTGCGGAGTTTGCCGATGACAAGGCTATTATTTCTATCCATGATAACCCTCACACAGCTTCCCTCAATCTTCAACTCCACCTGGACCTCATGGCTGATTGGTATAAAAAATGGCGTATCAAAGTTAACCAATCCAAATCACTTCACACAACTTTCACTCTTCGTCTTCCTCCTTGTCCTATGGTATATCTAGACAATATTCAAATCCCTTCCTCTCAATCGGCTAAATACTTAGGTCTGACAATTGACCGTCGACTCACATGGTCACATCATATTAAAATTAAAAGGCTAGCCCTAAATGCACGACTCCGCATCCTCAAAACTCTAATTACCAAAAACAAACACACTCCATTAAATACTAAACTCTTAATTTATAAATCCTTGTTTAAGCCTATGTGGACCTATGGTCTTCAACTCTGGGGCAATGCCAAAAAATCGAACACTAATAAAATTCAAACCTTCCAAAACAACATCCTTCGTAAAATCACAAACTCTCCTCCATATATTTCAAACCTAACTTTACACACCGATCTAAAAATTAAAACAGTCCACGAAGAAGCAGTAACCTTTTACAAACGATTCCACTCAAAACTTCCTTCTCATACCAACCCCCTCATTTCAAACCTTTCCACATTCACAATTCCTGGGAACCCTCCTAGGAGGCTCAGAAGAAAATGGTGTCGAGATCTTCTCAATGAGTAACACACAATAATGAGCAAACATTATAGAAAAAAAAATAAAATAAAATAAAATAAAATAACAAAAAATATCAAGTAAGGGTAGTGTAACCACTGGGTGACTCCTCCCATCACGTAATCATGTTATAAACTTTTAAAATATCACATATTCTTATTGTTCCTAAAAGAACAGATTGTATATACCTTATAAATAATAAAAAAAAAAAAAAAAAAAAAAAAAAGAATATTCTCATCGCTCATGAATCGTGATACTAGTACATTATGTAATATTAAAACCAATTATTGTCATTTGTGAATATTTATAAACACACAATGACCTAATTTATCAATTAAAATTTACAAATTATTATACTTCTGTTTTATAATCAGATTGTTCTGAACAAATATGTACTTTTCCGTTATAATAACGAATACCTACTAAGTTATTCGTATACACGACCGCATAAAGACAGACGCGATAAGACTCGTAAGTTTTTACATATTTTATAACTAGCATCGTGAACAAGGGCGGGATAATGTATTATTAAATAAGTAGGTATAATCCGCTGTAATGAAATAAAAATATTGTAACCCAACATTGCATTATATTATTACGTATCTTAAGTGCATATAACACAATGAGCATAATAAAC